TTATTATAACGGAGTTGGGGTAGAAAAAAATGTCTACAAGGCATTCGAGCTGTACCAAAAAGCTGCTATACAAGGTCTGGCCAGTGCACAATATAATCTTGGCCTCTGCTATCAAAAAGGAATTGGAACGGAAATAAATTATCACAAAGCTGTTGTCTCATATCAAAAAGCTGTTGAACAGGGCCATGTCCTTGCACACCACAGACTCAGTGTGTGCTACCACTTGTGGTATGGTATGACAAGAGAGTAGTTTGAACAGAATCGACGTAGAAAGACTATCGCAAAGCAATCATGTTAATTCAAAAAGCTTTCGAACGAAAACATTTCCTTGCTCAGCATTCAATTTGTTTGTACTGGAATTAGCGTTAATAAACGGAGGTACAACGTACAACACAATTTGTTTATACGCCATAGACAAAAATGAATTAGATTATAGCAGCTAAAACTGTTTATTATCGCATAATAGAGTAAATTGATTAAGAATGGCTACTGATTATTGATAAATGGTGGTATTAAGGTATAGTAAATGTGCTAAGTTTATTATTTACAAACAATAAAGTTAAAGTCTATGTCTCTATTTGTCTACCTTCTGGTGGAGATAATCGACAGAATAAAACACGCCGTACTATAAGAGGACTGACAAGGAAACTTAATTAACACATTTATAAGCAACTTACTTATCTAAAGTTAATTACATTGAAAATGTATTACGTTATGATGTCAACTTGCGCAGTTTACCCCCATAATCATGAGAGTTTGTTTTATCATAAGAATTGGATTGGTTGCCGTATTTTTTTTTTTCCGTCATAAACTGTACCCTTCAACCATTACTTAACCTGGCAAGATAATCGGAACAAACAATCAAAAGAATATTATATCCAGCTCTTCAATTTTGTATACAGTCTGCAACACGCAATTGGCTTTCTACAAAAAAATTTACTGTTAGTATGGATAGTACCGCACCAAAATGCAATCAAAGTACATTCTGTATTGCATATCGACTTGACTCGCGAATTGTTCCGCGAAAATACATTGATGTGATACGACCAAATAGAGTAGGATTTATTACAAAGATTCCTATTTTTGTTCGACCAAATGACAAATAAATGCTTGTTCTATCAATAATTATAAGCAATCCTTCTATTGTTATGCGTGTCGCGTGTTCTTGTATATTTGATTAATAACATTTCTAAATTCATTTGCATATTACATGGTCAATTGAAGATGTACCCCAGTTACATTTTGCACACTAGTCTCTGTAGTGAATTATCGCAAACACTTTTGCGCTACTTTAAACGTGACGGATTTATTTCATTGAAGACTGGAATCGTTCATTATTATAACTCGTTCTTGAAATTTGGTTACACTCCCTGATCGCATCATCTATTACTGTTTGTTACTAAAAAGTAAATTCTAATAGAAAAACTTACGACGCTGATTACAAGGTCAATATTAAATGGTTGATTGAAACTATTATGCCCTGGTATTGGGATGCAATAACCAGCCAACTATAGTTCACTAATAAATTTGGTCGGCGGCTGTATGTGGTGATAACATACGCAATGCAAGACTATGTTCTATTGCAAATTGAGCATTAGCGCCTTTTTATTTATTTGAACTCTACTTGTGCTGTAAATATTCGGGTAATTGTTGTATAAGGTATATCTCTGAAAGATAAATAATTATTTAACGGGTTATTTTGTCCCCCGAAAGTTGCCTAACATACATATGGGCACTCACTGGTGAGCTGAAGACTGACCGGAATTATCTATTAACTATCTTTCCCGAAAAAAGTTTAGCAACCAAGAAAAGCACCATAAATAAACAGTTATTGGCTCTTAAAGTGAAGAAAAATATTTAATACGGAAACTTAAAACTTTAGTCGACAAACAATATAGCCTTTATTAAATGTTAGCCATTGTATTAATTGCTCAATTATTCTAGATCTTTAGCCCATTTGGTAAGTTCTATAAGGAAGAAGGCGTTTTTAACAATTGATGTAGGAATACAAAGAAGCGTGATTGCTGAAAAAGCATATCAAATACCCCCAATAAATTCGTAAACAATCGCAATTGCATCTACGTATGACACGAAAAACAATCAAAGGTTTTTCAGAAGGACGATGTGAAAGTCCGCAAGCAAAACAAAGGTGGTCTAAGCTTTACATATTTATTGTGGTTATACTGTCGGACGTCCAATATTGAATTTAATATTTCAAGGTTTCGCACAAGACAGATTGACCTGATTATATTATTGTTATCGACATTATAATTATTGCCTTTCCCCCGATATACCAACCTAAACATACACGTATGCAAACAATTACATGACGCGAGGAAGTTCCAAAAAAAGTATCGTCTAATGTTCTCTGGCTAAAGAAACAGTGAGTTAAACAATAAAATGCGCTCTAGATTTATTTCTGCCGAACACAGCCAACGGACGAGGTCGGCGCGTCTCTCCCAGAAGTCGAGGAAAACGTTAAAACATAAAAAAAATAAGTTACATTCTGGTCAATAACCAGCGCATATTCTGTAAATAGATTGACTGTAAAACGGATTGTTTAATAAAAAATTATATTTTGGTTATAGAACATATACTGTATCACACTAACAATGCAACGTCAACGAGCGTGCCCTTAGAGTCTATCGATAAACAACACGCTCTCTGAAAAACCCCAGCAGTTATTATTATAACTCGCAGACACTTAGTTAAACAATAGTACGACAAACGTATTCAAGTAGGTCACAGCATTTTTTGAATCGATTCAATAATTGTAGACATAATTCGAATTTATTGTTATTTAATGAACAAAAATTATATTATATACATGATGAGCAATTGTACTAACATTACAACAACCCGCTTTATCTCCACCACAATTTTCCGCCTCCGTACTTCTTCAGCATCTTCCTCCTCCTTGAGAACGTCATCGTGTGGAGTTCTTGGGTTACCAGACAGTTGCGGTGCGCCGAAACTTTTTCATTCGTCCGAGTCCGATACGGAATGTGGTTGCTAAGGGGGAGCTTGTAATAACAGGAGCCCGCGCGGCTCCAAAATTTAATGGTGAATCCAATAATGGTGAATTCATCCATGTTTAAAATAAATATATTTGTTTTTTAAAAAGAATAAAAATTTGGTTTAAAACAAAGCCGTTTGTTAAAAGGCTTTTTCTTCTCGATTGAGAAAATTTTTTGTGTGTGTGATGGCGTGCGTAATGCAGCCGCGGGTGATTTGGCTTTTCGATAAAACCTTGGTTTCCCGCTGTATAAAAGCAAGGCAAGCTCCTCACAAAAAGTTTTGACTTGACAAGCATAGCCATTGTAAAGGTAGTTGAAGATGTATACATCATCATAAATGTGTGTGAAATTTAAAGATCACGCTGACAAGGAAAATGATGAGATTAAATAGATTTTACAAATATCTCGCGATGCCTGTTAAAGTTCAACGCAAGGCATGCCTAATAAAACGCAAAACTCCAAAAGAGGTTTGGATCTGCCTTATTATTAAACAATTGCTAATCCATTAATCGTACGTCTTGTTTGTGGCTTTGTTTACAAAGCCTGTGGTTCACATTTATGATTCAAGTCTTTTCTTCCTTTATGGAATGTCAGTCTTCCTAATATCCTTTTTCGGGAAACCTTTTACACAAGAATCCTCGCTGCCGAAACATTCCGGACAGAACGTCATTTTAGTATCAGTTCATTGTTTGAGTGATACAATTTGCGCGTGTCTGATGTCGGACTGCTCATTATTACATTGCTAATATGTCGAACTGCTCATTATTACTTGATGTAATACTTGAGGTGCAAACCTAAACTTTGATTGTTTCGGATTTTTAACTCGCACTAATCTCAACCTCCAGCAACAAACAATTACGACAAGACACTGGTCATGAGAAGAAACATCTTCAGTAAAAACTGTAAGTCTTCTATTACACGATGCAAAGAATCTAACAAGTACAGTAACACACGGGACATTGTTATTGTTCGTATGTATGATCACATGACCAGGGACATAGTGTACGGTTAGAAGAGTGAGTTAATATTAATGCTAGATAATAAAAATTCTGCAGGAGACGATTTATCAAAAATCTCACCTTAACAGACATAATAACAAAGGCTCATCCGCAAGCATAATAGTTATAACCAAATCTTTTGTTTAGGCACAAATCCACGAGCAAGGGTGACATCCGTTCAAGGAAGATTCTGCCAACATTAATTACTAGCCACTCATTTATAATGGAATTACACATGCAATAAATGAGAGTCTTCTATCGTAACGACTTTGATAATATTACATTCGTGATGCAAATTAAAATTATTACCGATTGTTATCTCTCGATAAATCGCGATACTGAGAGACCACGTTTTTATTCAACCAAAGTCTCGTATATCCAATTTTCAGTCAATTTACATCAACTTCAATTACACTATCAGACGGAAATAGAGGCAGACATTGAGCTATTGAGGAGGAAAAAACTGCTTGCAAGATTGCCCGGATTTCTCTTGATCAATGATGCAACAATCTTACTGAACCTTGCTTTCACATACTTGGTCGTGCCTGCACAGGGGACAATGCACATTGAACGTCAACGGTCGAGAGAATCGGAGGAACATGAATCTATAATTGATAGTTATACACGAATTGTTAGATACTTGTATATATTCGTGCTAGATTGGCAACAGCTGAGAGTTGTAATAACAAACCGATTTAAGCAGAGCCCGTGGTGAAGTGAAGCTAACGATGTGCTTTATATACAATGATTCTGTGTTAATTTCTGGACTTTCCTTTCATCAAGAATTACTGTATCAATCAGTACAGTTACTTCTACAGGTTCAGTGTCTGACGTAAAGGGGCGAGAATACACGACAAGCGGACGCGTTGGAGAAACAGATAAAATTTAATATTATGCATAAGAGTATGAAAATTACGTAAATCACAAGTAATTGAATTATTACCCGTCTACATCTGTCTGATTGCCGGGATTATGACCCAGGCTTATGTGTTTTCAAGCATATGGCGGAGTGATGACATTACAGCCAACAACTGGAAGGGGCGGCGAAGACAAAGTGGAATGGCAGTTGGGTCGTGACCGGTAACCTGTTGTCGCTCTATTTTAGATAACTGCTGCATATCTTGCCGCATTAACTGGCTTCCGTCACAGGATTTCAGTAATACCCTACAAGCTTTATCCCGACAGAGTTGTCGATCTTCGGTAAAGTGCGCATGTAGTCCGTATTAATACATATAAAATAAACATAATCAAGCTCAATCTTTGAGCGGAGTCGACGCGGCACAGATTCTTGGTCATTGGATCATATTCCGTGAGTTCTATGAAAAAATAAAAGCAACATATATTACTTCTATGAATATTCGCTCGTACTTTTCACAAACCATCAGCTAACTTCGACAAATTCCTACTAATACTTAATCCAATACCGAGATCAGTCCAAATCTTTACTCTTAACGATTATACTAAAGCTCTTTTTCAAAGCAAGCTTTATACAACGCTACAAGCTTTTTGGGATTGCATCCAGTTGTAATCTTATGCGTTGGTCCTAATTAACAGAGTACCGCCTTCAGCGATCCCGTCGACCCTTTCTCTCATGACTATTCACCTACAAACACAAACTCAGCAAACGATCCACCCTCTTCGTCAGTCATTATCGTTTGATCTGTTCCAGGATTAACTCTCCATATAGTCTCTCACCGTCTTATCTTAATCGTGATATAATCTGTGCTCCCACATGGAAATCATCTCGACAGATGAGTTTCTGCTCTGCAAACGATTGTAAATCTACAACTTGTGAAGTATTTGGAACAATAGTCAATTGGACATCTTGCGAATGATACAGACGGTAACATAATATTACTGTGTATACGTACTGGAATGGTTGGATTTTGGTCGTTGTCCGCAACGACAAAGCATTAACATTCTCGCATTACTAACTAGGTTTTGTACAGATACTTGATACCATTCTTAGTATTAGCCTTGATTAGCACAATTATTATAACGCTTAATCTCATTGAAGAAGCTACCTTACTGTAGAAATAGTGGACCATTACAAAGCAGTTTAAGCTTTTCGGTACTAACTGGTTTTTTGGTAGCTATTTTCACGTGATTTACGCTCTGTGGTACGGGCAACCAAAATTCTTGCCAATTAGATTATTATGTTGAAGAATCATACCATTTAATTAATTTAATGAAACGATTAGAAGATATTTAAGTAAGGGTATACTTATATATATTCAAACGCACGTCTCATCATAAGCGAATAACAATCGAGGCTCTTCCCACACAAAACGATTGTACAACTACCAAAAGTCTTAAATCTCTTGATTCGAAATCTCTGTGCTATGTAAGTAGTAATTATTAAGTGAGGGCAACTTTTCGAAAAAAATAATGCTAAAAGAACTTTTGGTAGGGGTGTATGTCCCCGAAGTTCAGTTTTCGTGACACACAAACCACTACTTTTAGCAATAATTATTATCAAGCTACACAACTGCTTTGTATATTGTACTACTTAGACAATACTTTTTCGAAAACATATATTGTCTGCGCATAGACGAGAATATGCATTGTCTGCGTAAGTAAAGATTCTTTTTCTTCTAATAATACGGTTTTTACTATATGAGGTGCTACTTATGGTCGTACAGCATATGCCATTCTTCAAATCATCGTTTTATATATGATTCGGTATTTGTAACCTAATTACTAATTTCAAGCAAAAATCACTGTTATTTACATGGACAATACGATTGTATTTCCTTATTATTATAGCAAGGGAAATTTAATATTGTTTTCAAGACTTTTTTGCTAAGTATATAAAGTCATCGTTGTTTCGCGATGATCCTATATCAATATTAGCTAGCGACTTTTGAAAAAAAATTCATAATGTTCAACCGCTGGGTCGGTTTATACATATTACTTTTAATTATGCTACCATCAGCT